GGGCTGTGACGCTGTGGTCGTCGATGACAACGTCGAGGTCGCTAGTTTGTCGATTCGCGTTGCAGTTGGGTTGTGGCTTCGGATCAAGGCTACGACGGTTTGTACCACTGCTTCAGCGTTGCGTCATCAAGTCGTCTTCTGGTCGTAACGTTTCGACATCGGGATTACGTCGACGTTGCAGCGGGTCCGCAAGGTTTCGTCGCGGCGTCATCGTCGGAAGCGGTATTCTTTGACAGTTCGTCATACAGCAACCTCACCTCCATTGGTTGCTGCCTTTAGTTTTCCGAATACGGGCTAGGCAACCAGCCTCGGTTTGGGCCAGTGTACGACCACCGGTGAGGTGACATGTAGCGGTCGGGGGATGTTGAACGGGAAGAGCCTCGGGGTGTTCATTGCGCTGCTGCGAGGTAGTCGGCAATTTTGTGTGGTCTTTCAACCCGCTGCTAATGCGGCACGTCAATGCCAAGTTTACGCAGTCCCATTTGGTGGCACTGGCAGCGGCGGTAGGTGTGGCCAGCTTCTCCGCAGTGGTAGCAAAAAGGGCGGGGGTCGGGGGCGCGCCACACGTCGGTTTTTCTCTGAGTGTTGCGCTGGCCGGTGAGTGGTTGGTATGGCGCCGGTGGTGGAGGTTGGGGTGGTTTCTGGTGACGAGAATGCGGCAGCGCGGCCTCTTGACGTGGATGCGGCGGGAGAACGTTGCGTTGAGCTACAGCAGCGTAGATTTATGGCTTGTGGGGCTCAGGCTGCGCTGGTTCGGGTGTCCGGAGAAATTGCTGGACTTCCTGGTGAACCACGTCTGCGATCGGGTCCACGGGATGCTGTGAGGCTGGCAACAATTTACGCAAGTCTTTTCGTACGATTGCTCGTATCGCTTCACGAAGTTCGTCGGAGCCGAGAGCATGAAGAGCTAGGCTGTCTTCCATCGTTCGCTTATTGTACTGGCGGGTTCACATCTCCAGTGTCTGCTCGATTGCTTCCGACACGTACTCCTGGACAATCTTCAGGAGGTTTCGGGTCAGGCCAGCGAAGAGTTCTTGTTTGACTTCTCTCATGAGAAAACAAACTTCCTCGAGTATGTCGGGGTCAGAGTGGCGGAACAGTCGCGGCCTTTCTTCCACGAAGACTGTCACATATTCATTCGGAAGTTGCACCCTCGTCTCCAGCAACGTCGCGGCTTTTTCCTTGCAGGTGATGCTCCTTAACGTATCCAATAATGCACTGTAGAAGAGATCCCAGGTTGGAAGGGCAGACTTCCGGTTCTCAAACCAGGTCCTTGCCGTGTCTTCTAGATAGAATTAAATGCGACGGAAGTTCTCTTCCGTGTCCCAGTAGTTGAGGACGGCCACTCTGTTCTAGGTCTCCGTCCAGGTCTCCAGGTCTTCAAATGATAGCCGATGAAATATCGGTGGTTCCCTTAGCTGCTGCCTCATGATTGCGGGCTGCGGCGCAGCAGGTGTCTTCGTTGGCGCGGTCGAGGTCATGGCCTCGGTCTTCCGAGCCTCGTCTTGTAGAGGCATGTACTCCAGTGGTAAACTCTGCTGCCTGCGGCTTGATCGGTGCTCATGGCGGGTGTCAGTGTCTTCTTCGCGACGTGGACTGGATTCATGGCTTGACGGGGGTGTCCGGTACATGAACGAAGCAGCACCTATACCAGATGTCACGGGGTTGTGACGTGAATGAAGGGAGCAGACTTCAGGTCAGAGATCAAACTGTTTATTCGGACCGAACTTGTGGCCACGCAAAAGGAAAGCCAGATTACAGCAAGAAACTGGCACTGATAGCGGCGAACAGAGCAACGGCCGTCGATCAACTGACAAGCGGCGAAGCGTGTTGGCTTCTATTAACTTGCCAACGAATATTCTAGCGTTATCGCTAGCGATGACGTAGGTTTCAGAATAATCTGTAGTGTTTACCAAGTGGGCTTAATCTTAACAAAATGATCTACTACCTTCCCGAAGCTTTTGAAATAGTGTAAGCGTGGTTTGCGCTGAAGTATCCTGGCAGTAGAAACGGGCTGATAACAAAAGATAAAGTGAGAATGTGACAATATACCAGTGACATGGACGAGGGAGCAGACTGTAGGTACCAGATGAAGCTTTATTTGGCCGAACTTGCGGCCGGTGAACTTAAAGCCAGATTACAGCGATACACACGGTCACTGATAGCGGCGAAGAGGGCGTCGGCCGTTCATAAACTGAGTATCATCGGTGAAGTGCTTCGACATTTATACAAGCGCCATGGAATTGTCCAGCCTTATCGCTGTTTGCTGTGGATGCTCTGGAATAAGGTCGAGTATTCGCGTCTCGCGCGCAATCTCAACGGGACAATCGACTACAATTCTGACGTTTCTCGAACACTGAAGAATTGCTGGCACTCTTTTTGGGCGTAAGCGGGACCTAGAACACGGAAAATAAGAGAGGTGCGTGGCAGTATGGTAGCCATTTTTTTCCGACTGTAGTAAGCAAAACTACTTGAATTGTTTTGGTTTTTCCAAAAAGCAGTGGTACCACTCCGTTGACAGTTGGTTTGTTTCTACAGGGGCGTAGGATATCCAAGCATCATCCCCTGTAACAATGCGCGAAAACAAATGATTCCTGTTTAGTTAGTAACGGTCCCAGATTGCTCATCCACTTCACATTCTTTAGTGTTTGAGCTCGTCAGTAAGCATTTGGGTACCGAGCTTATACAAGCCTCGTGATTTCAGCTACAATTGTGCGAAACTAGGGGATCTTTGTCTGACAGGGCACTGTTAGTAGTTGATAAAATCGCACTGCCCAGTTCATTGGAATACTTTTTTATTTGGTATGAATGCTTGGCCTACCGCCCCGCTCTTTGTCGTACACAATTGTGAAGCCATTTTCGAAGTTTCGACACCGTACTCTGACATTTGTTCTATTCATGACTATTTGTCCACAAGCTAGAAACAACTCCTTATAAATTTTATTCCTTTTCATGCAAAAAATCAAATTGCACTGTGCACCTTGCAAGTGGCGGGAGCAACTATTTTTGCTTACATTATCAGCTGCATTACCCGACAAACAGATCAACACTAGGCCAGATAAGACTGATGCTTGGGCTAGCTGGTGATTGGGAATCAACATATTTGCACAGCGCAAGACTACGAGTAGTTACGACGTAACTACAGAAGAAACATGGACAAAAGAGCGCTGACTTCAACTGAAATTTTATTAGCGAAAACGCTGGAAATGTATACTCGTGACAGAACATCACTGCGCAATCTGTCCTTTCTGTCCTTTTTTCTTCTGTAGTTGCGTCGTAACTAGTCGTATTCTTGCGCTGTTCAAATATGTTGATACTAAGCCAGAGCAATAACTTCAGTATTTCTGTGGAGAAAATAACAAATCATGTTGTGCGTGTATATGTCTATCCTGACGTATTGGGAAACGGCTGACTTTAATGAATAAGCCTCGTATAAAAGACGGTAATGTCGATTTGACAGCAATGATTACTCGCTGCCCATTCCCCCAACATTGCCGCCATGAATTCTAGCACTTTATAGTGGTTTAGGGTTCCTTATGTCCTTATTGTATGGGCATAAGCCATGTGCAGTGTATGAAGAGTGTTTTTATCTGGTTTATTATTTCTATTTACAAATCACTGCTTTCAGGAACACCCACATGCATCCTCTATTTCTTTTGCCAGCTGATCAACAATGACCCAACTAGGGCAGGTCTAAACTTCCATTCCATAACAACCTTAACGAATATTGTCTCTTATTGAAATGTCTGACTCAGACTAAGGCTAGTCATTTCCGCCAACTGTTACTCAGTTGAAATGTGTTTCAGCTATTACCTCTTATAAAACATTAGAACTAAGATTCTTTTTAGGCGTGAGGCGGTAAATTTTCTGCCAGATGTACGAGCTTGGCACAACTGAAAGTGGAGTTGGTTGGTCGGAATTCGTCGCAACACCATCGGACGCACAGACAAGAAAAGGGGAATGCGAACTATAGTAGCGAGAGCACGTTAGTTCTGGAATATCTAGCATAACAGCGTGGCTTGTTTTTTTTTTACCACCACCATGTGCCTCTCGCCAATTTGCCAAAATATAACATTTTGGCTCAGGATAATCTGACACTCCATCTTTGGAGCGCAGTTTTGAAGCTGCCTATTTGTTACAGCTATAATCCTAAACGCACTTGTGTAGGGAGAAAGACACCGGGCAGCACGGTATGCAAGTACTCTGCAAGGGTCGCCCAGCGTAAATGTCGTTGTCTGGCGCTTCGTTCCTCGTACTATACGTAGAACAGGGATTCAGAACGAGCCAAGACACAAAGTTACCCAATTTAAGCAGGCACATTTATGAAAAAGTGCCTTTTTATGTTTTAATATTTATTCTTCAAACCTGTGAGTGGCAGTGTTACTGTTTAATTGTATACTCCTCCATTCACGATTGCCAATAAAAAACGTAAGCTCACTTTCTTGACGTCTTTTTTGCAGGTTACCGCAACTCTAAATCACCTGCACCGACACAGCGTGTGTATTCATAGCAGCGTTAAGCTGCCGTGTGTGCAGATGCTATCCCGCAACAGCTAAGAAATAAATGCCAACAACCTCATTTTTGCGCACCGACCACCCGCACTCACCAGCAATACAGCAGACATATTGTTTTAACTTAATCATGAGCATAATTCTTTAGTACTGGCATCTCGTGGCGGAATAATTTGGTCCACAATGCCGTTTTTATCGTTCTTTTCGTTACACTGTCACAGGTGCAGTTTCCATTCTCTAGGTGGTAGTACAGGTGTTCTGTGATTGCACTCTCTCTGTGCGATTGGGGTGGCCGGTGTGACACCCGTTTGCGCGCAATCTCGCAGTCCATGTGCAGGCGCTAGATAACGAAGGCCTCGTGAACAATCAAGGTGCACTGATGAGTAAAGCGTTAGATTAATGATGAAGACGTTGGTTACGATGACAGGGGATGATAATAATGATTAATGCGTTGAAGTGCGCGTACAGTCATTGGGAATTTCCATGCAGAGGATGCTGTCACGAAGCATGGGCGTGCGTGGCATAGTGAAAAAAAGGCGACACCTCTTCCTGGTTGGCCAGACGAGAGTGCACGTGGACACTGTGGAAGGTCTCGGTGACTTCGTCGAGCTCGAGGTGGGTCAACAAGAACTGCATGCGCTTCCGGTTTTGCTGTCAGTGCGGTGCTTTTGTCGAAATGTTAAAATAAATGTTGCCTTTGTGTCTGTCATTGCTACGCCCTTAACCCTACCTTACAGCATATTCATCGCCTTAAAATCTTGGTTGTAAGCGCGGCGCACAGTAGTGGTCCGGTCTTCCGTATGCTATTGTTGGGACGGCTGTACACGCGGGATAAGTAGACACGACCACGCGGCATGGATCCCAAACACTAACTGGTTTCATTCGGGTTCTCTGGGGGTTCCGGAGAGCATCGGAGGGTAGCGCTGCCTCACGGCTTGGCCCTCCACAGTGCTCCCCTTTAGTGAGTTGCCGAACGGAGTTACAGGTCCAGGCGAGTGGGTGTTCTTGATAGACGCCCGCTGTGCGCTAGCTGGGAGGGCACCTTGTCGACTTGGGCTGGCATTGGAGCTGGGGTCCTGGCGATGATTCCTTTAGCGGAGGCAACACGGTGTTGTCATGGTTCAAGTGTGCTGACTTGACGCGGTCCAACAACACAACCTCCTGACGGCCGCTTCTCCTAATTGTGAATTGTTTGTTGCCACGGCGGAGAAACCGCTAGAGGGTAGCTGAAGAGCTCACCGGGCCACGTCATTTCGAACGAACACATACTGGCATAATGCGAGCTGTGGGTCGACGTGTACCACATGGAGGCCGTGGAAGTACCGCACGCGGTTTGCTTATGAAGTTACGCGGGTGAAATGCATAGTCACTGCAAGATATGGAGGCATCTAATCTGTGCGAAAAAAGCTCTCCCACAAGCCTGAGTGTCGTGCCGTAGACAAGCTCAGTGGCACTGCAGCCAATGCCTCTTTCAAGGTGGACCTCATACCCATAGGGACGAGTAGGAGAATCTCTTCTCAGTTGTCTTCCTCGGTTGCTGTGAACGCATTCGTCAGCTGGTGGTGAAAGCGCTCCACCATGCCGTTGCTCATGGGGTGGTACGCCATCGTGCGAATGCGTGAGGTGCTGATGAGCTGGCTCATAGAGGTGAAAAGGGATTATTCAAATTGTCGGCCGTGAGCTGTTGTTATCGTGGAGGGCACCGCAAAACGCGCTACCCAGTGGTACAAGAAATCACTCGCAACCGTCTCGGCAGTGATGTCCGCGATAGGGATGGCCTCCACCCAGCGAGTGAACCTTTCGACACAGGTTAGCATATAAGCCTTTCTGTGGCAGGGTGGCAGGGGGCCGACGATGTCCAGGTAGACATGATCAAAGCGAGAATCTATATGGTAGTGTCCCCAACGCTGTCGAGGTATGGCGTTGTCTCTTGGAGCCCTGGCAAGCTACACATTCACGTGCCCAGCGTCGAACGTCCCCATTTAGGCCAGGATAGAGAAATCTTGCCGTAACCTGTCATTGGGTGGTTTTAATTCCCAGATGAGACAGTCTGTGCAAGAACTCGAACACCTGCCAACGCAGGCTCGCGGGCATGAACGGTCGAGTTTTACTGGCCCTTGTGTTTAAGCAAACCTTGTCATCATATCCGGGAACTAATATCCACTCAAGATATAGGACAGTGGTCGCAGTCAACAGACGTTTCACTTCATCATCCTCATGGTGAGCGGCTGTCAAAGCGGGAAAATCAACCTGTATTGTGGGCATGATAGCGTTCACAGCATTACGTGAGAGGGCGTCCACTACCTCATTGTCGTTGCCTTTGACGTGGCGGATAACAGTCGTGAACTGGCGTACCGTCTACCTACCTCACTTGTCGGTTATATATATATATATATATATATATATATATATATATATATATATATATATATATATATATATATCGTAAGATGGCATCCAGGACCCTCAAAACTCTTTTTTATTGTGTCGAGTATACCCCACAACCTAAAATGGAGTGGTGAAATGAATATGTATAGATGAAAAGATGGGACACATGAATAATGCTCACACTTATTTTCCCGCGCACATGAGCGATCGGCCCGGCTGAGACTTAGGGAAAGGTACGGCCAACAAAGGGTTTAAGACGTGAAACGTGGACTATTTTGGAGGCACGGTAATGACGGTCCGAGAAATCCTCGACGAGAGTGACAAGGTAATTGACAGGAGATGTCCGTTCACAAACATAGAAAGGTCCGAGAAAGACTTACAGAAACTTTTCACACAATCCGGGTGTACAAAAAGGTGTCTAAAGTAGTACTTCATTTCCAGGACGGAAGGTGACGTCTTGACGAAAGCTGTCATAGCGTTGCTTGTGGTCTTGTTGACTGGCCTCCGTGTTGAGTTGAGCACGTTGCCCTGTGTCAGCAAGCCTGAAGACGAAATGTTCTGGAGTAGTCGTGGACGTTTTTGGCGTTACACTGACGAAAGGGGCGTCAATGGTGAACGCCGGCGCACGACCGTAGACGAGGGAAAATGTGATTACACGGAGGTTTGTCGAACAGAGGTGTTGTGTGCAAACATTACGAATGACCAGATTTTGTCCCACTTATCGTGGTTTGGCCCGGTGTACATGGATATCATATCGATTAGAGTCTGGTAGAATTGCTCTGTCAGGCCATTTGTCTGTGGGTGATAAACGCATGTGGTCTTATGAACTGTGCCACAAGTTTTTTGAATTTCATCGTCATGAACTGTGGACAGGAAGCCCTTGCCTCGGTGACTCAACAACGCGCGAGGTGCACCATGAGGCAACACAAGGGCTTCTAAAAAGAAGGCGGCAACGTTTGAGGCAGAGCTAGTGCGTAGAAAAGCGGTCTCCGCGTACCGCGTGAGGTGGCTGATGGCTGTGACGATCCAGCGGTGGCCTGCTGGCGTTTTGCGTAGGAGGAGTTCGCACTGTGGGCGGCGCTTGTTTGTCGTCTGCTACACATTTGCGGCCGCGCTTCAGCTCATCGCGAAGTGCGGCCGAAGTCGTAAAACATTGAAAATAGTTGCTTTATCTGAAGCTGAAAGGAAAATGATGGGAATGATCTATGACCAGATAAATGTCACCTGACACATCAGCGGGATCACCGTCCTTCGGTCGCCTTCTCGTCAGATAAAGGATGGCCCGCTTGAGAAAGCTTTCTGGTGGCGCCAGTTAAAGGCGCTTGTAAATTTATCCTTCAGCTTACGCACTGCAGCAGCTGTAATCTGCATCAGTGCGCATGACATGCGCACTCCACAAGAAAACAAGTCATGCTTGTTTAACCACCAAAAATATCAGTCAGGTACTATTTCACATAAACTAATTTCCTTTAGGCTTTGCCACAGCTTTCTATGTGAGCATGACCATGCACTATGCGGACTAATTTCAATGTGCGGGACGGATGGCTTCACGGTGGTCTGGTGCGCAGCCGCAACTCTAGTAAAAGACAAATGGGCACCGCCCACAGCACTCACTGCTCCTGTGCGGAACTAATTGCTGCAGCCAGCCAGCGGTGGCGCCGAGCAGACGACACGTGCTCCGGTGTTCCAATTAACAGTGAACCCCTCTGTACATACATGTTTCAACGCGCGCGTTAGGTGCGCGTCAGGCATATTCCGCGTGAAGCAGCGATCGTTGATGTAGCGGTCGGGGGTCGGGGCAGGTGTTGCGGGCGAAGGGACGGGGTGGCAATTGCAGGGGCTGCGGTGAGCGCGTGGCAGGCGAGGGAGAGAGTGACGTCAGCGTGCAGCTGCGACGTCCCCTACTTGGCACCGCGTCCATACCTGCGGTGCGCGGCACGTTTGTACGCAAGGATAGCGTTAAGTTAGGAACACAATGGCGGGAAGCATGCCGCGGGGGCGTCCCGCCCGTCGGCGCCACCGCATGGCAGCCAGTGGCCCGCTGTCCACATTTTTGCGGCGCCACGAGAACAGCAAGATAAAAATGGACATGTCGAGGCGTGCGCGCACACTGCTGGCTCGCGGCTTGTCTTCTCCGCGAAAGACGGAAAGAGGAAAAGGCATGGGTGAGGAGGCGACGCTTATGTGAGAAGAAAGGGAGGAAACGCAGGCGCTCATTGGTTGTTTGCTTAAACAGTAGCCGAAGGCTGCGGCAAAAATAGCCCAGTGAGCGATTTGTTCGGCGGCAGAAATTCCACGACGCTCGGCGGGGGAGAGAAAAGCAGCGTTTCGCGAGGGGTGAGCGGCGCGCGGCAATGTGTTCGTACCCTTACACAGGCTAGTCAAAGAACTGCTTTGCATCTAAAATTGTTGAGATCTTCACGACGCAATCAGCCACTTTTGGGACGTCGTCTCGCGTCTCTTCTCAAGCTACACTTACTGACCTGCCCTTCGGACCATTTTGTACCCAATGTTTCAACATTCGATACGTAATCGCTGATTTTCAGTATTAGGCTGGGAATTGTCTGCGTAGTAAACTTGTAAGCTATTCATGGTGGCGCGATGGGTTGTTAAACATCTTTCATTATTACTTCTATAAAAAAACGCCCTTCAATTTACACGTCTTTCTCTCTGTTACTATGGGACTGTTGAAAAAACGAAGGTCAATTTTAATGGCTCAGTTTTTTGCTAGAAACATTATTAGTGAGAACTATCTGACAACACTGCCATGTGTGATGGTATTCGGAGTAATGCTGATATGATTGGGAAAAAAAGTAAAATTACCATTGCACATTTTTTTCACCGACTTTAACTTCTTCACATTTATATCAAAATCGTCTAAATAACGTTGTACCTGCCTTAATTGGCATTCTTGTCGGTTTGTTTTTATTTTAATGTTGACTGTTCAACCTCTTATGAGTTTATATACATAGATTGCAAACCATGATCTCTCTTTTGCTGATGTTTCTGGAAAAAAAAAGGAAGTCACGAGAGAGAGTAAGGAATTGACCGGGAAAGAAAGCATGGTTCAGCAAAGTGGGTGCAGTCTAGCTTGGGAAGAGTTTGGCCAAGGAGTTTACTTGTGAGCAATGAAGAGGGAGACTCGTACCCGATCGTTTGGCTACATTTAAGGTGAACGAAACAACTGAGCGAGCCAGCAACCGCCGCCCCTTCTTCCTCGTTTATTT